GTTAAGAACACAAAACATGTTTTTCACCATTGTAAATTAAGAACACAAAATTGGTTCTTAACCAATCATAATCCTAAATTAATAATAAAATATGTCTTAAGAACACAAAACATGTATCTAGCATTGTACATGCTCTAAGATACACCAATAAAGGTAATCTTAGAGCATTTGGCGATTATGTGTCCATAAATTTTCGATTTAAACAATGGAATTTTTTGACAAAAAAAAATGATAGATTTGGAGAAAACTTTAATAATAGAATAGTTTCTAAATTGTATAACAAGTTTTTTACATTTACGAAATAGGAAATATAACTTATACACAAATATTAACTTTCCTAATATATTCAATATTGACAATTTTCTGGAAATCTTCCTTATTTCCATAATCTTGGTTGGTGATCTTGACCGTTCAATCTCGGTCGATCTCCACCTCTCGATCTCCCAATACCTCACGGCAAGCTCATACGTGATAACACGGGTGAGATTGGACATATCTTCAAAAAATCGCAGCATTATACTCTGCTGTCGAGTCATCATCGACGTTTATACCCGGTCGTAGGTCAAATCGGCTGCAACACCCGGTCGTCAGGTCATCTTCGAGGCGTTTATACCCGACCATAGAGTCACTGATTCAATGAAGAATATTTTAATAGTTGTGTATCTCATTCGTCTCATCATCATATCACCGACGAATCCGTATATATCCGTCGAAGTCATCTATCTAACAGTATTTTCGTGGCCATCGTCGTATTTGTAGTTGATAGATAACCACATGAAAACCTGAGAGAGAAAAAATTCACAATTGAATTTGAACGAACTCATCAATGGTCATATTCACAATCCAAATCAATCATTGAACGATGTCTTCTTTGTTATTATTTGTTCTTTGTCATGGGTCAATGTGGTTTAATGATAAAGATCCCAGTCAAAACTCGACTCCAAACAAAGCAAACGTATATAATAAACACCATTAATAATATTCCAACGAAGAAGATATCGAAGGATGATAAGGTCAAAGAAAGAAAGAAGATGAAATCGATAAAAAACTAAAGCAATTTTTTCTTTTAAACCAAAAACGTAAATAGAAGAGATAGAAAAAATAATAATGAAACAAATAAGAAGAATTAATCATAGGAGGTAACAAAGAAGATTTTTGTTTTGTTTTATCAACTGAAAGTGGTTCCGATACCATAATAGATTTTGGAAGAAACCTTAATAGTAGTAGAATAGTTTCTCTCAGTTTTATTCATTAGCCTTCATTAGCCAAGAAGTTTATTTATACAAAGATTCTAACTTGTGTACAAGTTTTTTACATTTATGGAATATGAAATATAACTCATACACAAATATCAACTTTCTTAATATATTCAATAGACGATCTTCTAGAAATTTTTCTTATTTCCATAATCTTGGTTGGTGATCTTGACAATTCAATCTCGGTAGATCTCGACCTCTCGATCTCCCAATTAAAAAAAAAAACAATTGAATTTTGTATTGAAAATTAATAACAACAGAATTTAGTATTGAATATTTTAGTTAGATAAATACTTTAGAAAATATTTTTTAAATGAAAGTAAAAATATATTTATCAATATCTTCACACTAAAGATATAGAAAGATAATTAAATAAACAATTCTTGAGTTCAACCCTAGAGGTTAACCCAAGAATTTTTCTAATTAAATATTTTCGTTAAAATAATTTTATTAAGGATTAGTCGATTCACAATCTTGTTTCTTAATTTTCACTGATTTATATCTACTAACTTTCAATAATTTCTCAAACATAGATATAACAATTAGAACCCCTATTTATAATCCATATAATAAGAAGTTAGAATCAAGAGACCAAACATAATTATAAAATCAAAAATATAGCACTTGGATATAAGACATAATCAATTGGGTTACCTCTATTTATGTCATGTAATACATTGAGCAACATGCAAATGGTTAACCAAATCAACTAATAAAATTTTATGGCTGATATTAAAACATTAATGTGTAAACTTCACTATCCCTCGACGAGTCTGTGTCTTTTGTTTTCGATATGCCTTTATTACATTTTTCTTTTGGTTAAAGATCGTCATTCGTTTTTGGTGTGTTAATCTCATCTCTACTGCAATCATCAAATATTCATTTAGGTTTGTTAGGATTCAAAACCAAAAATTGATCTAACATATAAAACCAAATAAAATGTAAACAATTTAATTTGTTTGGAGCATTTTTGTGGAATGAAGAAGCGTTATTTGTTCGAAAACTTTTAGTGCAATATGTCATGTATTTATAGAAAAATAGATTTATGAGGTAGTTAGTTCAAGTCTGTAGATTTTTTTTTTATCAAGCAATAATCAAATTAAAACAATCCAAAAACTTCAATTAAACAATTTATCGAATAATATATAGTAAAAAATAATTTATTTAAATTTATAGTGAGAAAAACAATTGAAGTGTTTTCTTTGTTTAAAATGTTTATTTTTGAGATTGATTAGAAATTATTCCCATGCCAGAT